CCCCAAAACCCCAAAACCCCAAAACCCCGTCCCCTAATTTCTAATAAAAAATTACCCTTTTCACAGTAAGTCCCCTTACCAAGCACAAATCTCCTCTCAACCAGTTAAGTTCAGCCACTTAGTTTCAAATATTCTTGATTATTTTACTGAGGCCAAGGACAGGGTGTAACTGTAGTTTGAGTAGGGACTGAGAGTTTTAGGGGTGGGATTTTGTGAGTGAGTGGAAGGGGTAGAGGAGAATGGGAAGGGGAGCAGGGGGAGCAGGAAGAGGGAGGTTGGGGTTTTGGGGGTTTATGGGATGGATGAGTGTAGAGAGGATTTTTGGGGGATGAAGGGATTTGGTTGGATTGAGTTTGGATTTAGATTGAGGAAGGAGATGAGAGAGATTGTGAGCTTGTAGATAGGATGGTGTGGGAATTATGTGGGAGCTAGCTTTTGGGAGGACTGTGATATGAGCATGAAATTTATCCCCAAGGATGTTTATGAGGTATTGGAAGAGATTTGAATTGTGTTTATATACTCTAGGGGTTCAGACTTAAGATTTGAAAGAATAGAGACTTACTTTAGTGAAATTGAGGGTGGAAAGTATGTGCCTAGAACGGTTCTAGTTGATATGGAGCCCTCAGCTCTGAATTCAATAAAATTTGGATCTCTTGGAATCCTTTTTAAGCCTGATAACATAGTATCTGAAAATACAAGTACAGGAAATTCTTTTGCAAAAGGACACTATAGTGAAGGAGCTGAGATGGTAGATTCTATCCTTGAAGTTATCAGAGAAGAGGTCGAAGGATGTGACAGCTTACAAAGTTTTCAACTTTCTCACTCAATAAGAGGAGGAACTGGATCTGGGTTAGGAACTCTAGTTGCTTTAAAATTATAAGGAAGAGTATTCTGACTACCCAATACAAACATTTACAGTTTTTCCATCTCCAAAAGTATCTGATTGAGTCGTCGAGCCTTACAATTCTGTCTTAGCTATGAATCTTCTGATTGAATATGCAGATGGAGTCTCAGCCTATGATAACGAAGCAATATACGAAATTTGCCTAAATTTCTTGAAGCTAAAATCTCCACATTACTGAGACATCAACCACCTTATATCATCTTCTATGTGTGAAGTGACTGCTTCGTTTCGATTTGATGGAAAACTAAATACACATTTAAGAAGTATGCTTACAAACTTGGTTCCCTTTAACAAATTTCATTTCTTTTTAACTGGACTTGTCCCTTTAACACAGAAAGATTCAATACAATAAAAGCATTGCTCACCTCAGAAATTATAGAACAAATTTTCGATCCCAGAAATATGATGTGAGCTGTTGATCCTAGCTGTGGAAAATACTTCACAGTGTTTACAATGTTGAGGAGTCAGAATTCTCTCAGAGATGTTCATTACGAACTTGAACGAATGAAGTCTAAAATACCGCCTAATTTTAATCAATGTAGCATCAAATCTGAATGATTAAATATTCCTGCGAAAAATGTTAAACTTTCAGGAGCAGTGATTACTAACTCTACTTCAAATCAGGAAATTTTCTGCAGAATTGGAGCCCAATTCGATATGATGTTCAAGAGAAAAGCATTTCTTTATTCTGGGATTTTTGGGAAATCAGCTTTTGGAATGGACGGAATGGATGAATTGGAGTTTGTAGAAGCAAGATCAAACCTTGCAGATCTCATTTCAGATTACCAACAATATCAAGAGACTGAGACAAATCATGAAGAAGACTACTCCGATTCAGAATCTTTAAACAAAGAAGAAATGCAAGAAACTTAATACCCCATTTTCAGATCTTTACAAAATTATATCCTAAATATCTTTCAAACCCCATCTTAAGCCTAACTAAGACCCAACTACTACAATCTCTACACCTACCAATCCATTAGAAACCGTCTTAAATCTCATTCCAACCCCCTTCCTCCACCTTCCCAACCCTCACAAAGGAGCCTTATCAGTCTTCAAACTCTATTTAAAGAACAATAAATAATTAGAAATTTCTATATAGTTTCAGGAAAAGGGGTTTTGGGGTTTTGGGGTTTTGGGG